TCCAGGCACGGTGGCCCTGGCCCGGGGATGTCACCGATGTGGGGGGACATTGTCCTCCTGTGGGGGATGGCGTGGCACTGCCCTAGGGAGTTGCAGCTGGGTTTTGACTTGGTTGGGTTGGATGGGCATATGGCTGGGGGGGGGGGAGTGGGGGGGTGTCCATGTTGCCCCAAAGCTCTGGGGTCTCTTCGGGCATCCAGGGATTCCCTGCAGCTCCCGGGGCTCTGGGGTCTCGCCAAGACCCTGGAGCTCCCTGTAGCTCTGGGGTTTTGGGGTCTCATCGAGGCCCCAGGGCTCCCCACAGCCCCAGGGCTCTGATGTCATTGTGAGCCTCGGTCTCCCTGGAGCCCCAGAGGTCTCTGCAGCCCCAAGGCTCCAGGGTCTTACTTTGTTCCCCTGTGGTTCCCTACATCCCCAGGACTCTGGTGTAGACACTGAAATCCAGGGACTCTGGGATCACTTGGCCTCTAGGGGTCCCTGCAGCCCCAGGGCTCTGGGGTCTGGCGTCTTACCTGGACCCTGAGGTCCCTGCAGCTCTGGGGCTTTGGGGGTCTCATCAAGGTCCCAGGGCTCCCCACAGCCCCAGGGCTCTGATGTCACTGGGAGTCTGGGGTCTCCCTGGGGCCCGAGGGTGCTGGGGTCTCACTCGGTCCCTGTAGGTCCCTGCAGTCCTCAGACACTGGGACCACACTTGGCATCCATGGGTCCCTGCAGGCCTGGAGCTCTGGGGTCTCCCCAGGATCCCAAGGGTCCCCACAGCGCCACGGTGTTTCATGCTTTGCACCACTCCTGGGTCGGAATATCGCTTTTCCATGGCTTTCCTGCTCCTCACTGTGTCCTTCACAGGGGAGGCAGCCTAGCCAGAGCTACCATGACCTGACATCTTTCAGGGGCTTAACACCTCCCTGTTCCCACCCTGGGAAGATCTTCATCTCCCAGCCACAATCTCCTAATGCTGTGTGGTGGGCTGTAACCCTTCCTAACTGTTACAGTTGGGTTTTTCTGGGCCAGGAAACTCTCAGCCCATCTCTAGTTTTTTTCTCCTAACTCACTTGTTCATTTCCCAGCAGATAAACCCTGGCGGAACGAGGATCTGAGGGGAGCCGCTGCTGCGGTTCACATAAAGCCAAAGCACAACCGTTTTCTGTAGGAAAAACATTTTTCATTTCCATTTGCAAAGCCTCGCAAAGCCAATTCTCAGAAGAGCAGGAGTGGTCGATGCAGAGGGGATTGGATGCTCTTCTCCAGCTCTGGAGAGGCTGGAAGCTTGTCCTGTTGAGGCATCCGAGCTTGTAAACGGAGCTGTGAACACCCACACAAAAAGCCCTGCAGCCCCACTCCCAGCATTTAACTCCCACACCCTGGCTCTACAACCTGCGGAGTTTAGAAATTTGACCAGGAGATTGTGAAGAGAGGGAGGAAGGGACCAAAAAGCCCTTGTTTGGACACAGCTAGGACACAGCTCCTTGCTGTACCCTGGCCAGGACCCCCTGCATGCTCTGGGCCCACCACGCTCTGGAGAGGACCCTGCTCACAAAGTACCAACCTGGCTGCAGGTCAGGCAGGGATCCCAGGGGTTGCTGGCATCACGGTCCCCCCTGTCATCCCCCACTTCCAATGCACAGTGACAAAGTGAGGTCAATAGCAGGACCCTGGGTGCTCGCAGCGGATGGACTCATCTTGGCAGTACCCTGGAAGAGCAGCCCAGAGATGGGACAACCTTCTGAAGGGCAATCCTGTCACCTGATGCTACATTTCTCATTTGGGAAGACACAGACAAGGAGCACAGCTGTGCTATCAGCCCGGAGGGTGTAACTCCATGCCAGCCACAGGGCCACCATGAGCTGGCAGAGTCCCATGACTAATGAAAGCCGGTCTCCAACTAAACCAGGTCTGCCAAGCTGTCACCAGCTGCTGGATGCTGCAGGACAGTGAGGTTATACCACTACCCCCAGGGTGCAGGTTCAGCCAGCCCCAGCAGCAGGGCCTGGAAGGCACCATGCAATGGGGACGCACCCAGAGCCCAGCCAGCTCCCTGCTAACAGATGCTCATGCAAAATGAGCTAATAAAGTCCATCTTCCTCAGGCTCAAGTCTTGCTAGGATGGCAGCTCTGATGCCTCCAGAGAAGCATCCCTTATCTTCTCCCTCTCCACTGCTGAGCTCCTGCTGCTTGTTCTGCTGAGGATGGGAAGGATGGGGCTGTCATACCTCAGGGACACTCCACAAGATGGTGTTACATTGCTCCTGAGATAGCCACTGCCTGAACGGGTACTCAAGGCGGTTCCAGCCATGGGATGCTTGAAATTCAATGCTCACAAAGAGAAGTGAAACAAGATGTGATAGAGGCAAAGCTTCAGTAACGTGTTGCTTTATATTTGTTACAGTCGCCTTCATGTCTCTGCCTTGGGGTGCACAGGGTCCCAGCAGTGTAACCCACATCCGAACCGTGGGTCCAAAGGAGCCAAGGGCTGTGTAAACGGAGCTGGTTTGAGCCCTGAGTGCTTGCAAGGGCCAACGGGTCATGGAAACCCGTCTCAACTCAGCTGGTGGCTTGCAGGGGACACGTGGTGGTGACCAGCGAGATTTTGGGTGGCTGCGCTGTTGTCCAGTTTGGACAGTCACCCCAAGAGCTGCTTCAGAAGAGAAGAAAGCACTTTTTATTCAACTTTCCAGCCTGACCCACTGGGCAGAGAAATTCTTTCCATCCCTCAGGTGCAAATGGGGCCAGGCAGGGCTGGTTCCTGCATCAGTGATGCTGGGAAGGCAGTCTGCTCCTTCCCACGCAGCTGGTCCGAGCTCCTCCATCCCCAGGACTGCTGTGTTCTCCTTTTCTTCACCCCATGGGCACTCTTTGGTGCCACAAAGCCCCCAGGATTGGGTCCCACCTTCCCCCATGCACCCACACATGAGCTCTCCAGACTGTGTCTGGCTCTTGGAGGGGCTGAGGTGACTGCACGCGCTTGCACATGGACACATAGGTGTGCACATCGCACACGCTCCTGTGCACCCCAGGGGACACTACAGCAATGGCGTTAGACAGCTCTAGACCATAAATCCATCCAGCTTCTCTTGCTCCCTGCTCCGCAGCTCCAAGGCCACCCCAAGGTCTTTCCTCTGCGTTGTCCCCAACTCCCCGCCCGCTGCAGCAGCTCTTTAACCAAGCGTGGCGCTTGGCAGCTCTGCCTCACCGGTAGACGGCCACGGCACCCACAGCAACCCAAGCTGTGAAAAGCGCAGCTCCACCACAAGCCAGTCTGCACGGAGGAGCGGTTGCTCAGCCCACCATGCTAGAGTGCGGGCAGCTGCAGGCAACTGCAGGTGACCTTCCTCCTCGGGCAAGACTTTATGAGTGGTTGCAGCTCTCCAGCTTTCTCCTTGCTCTTCCTTCCATGAGTTTTTGCCCATGCCTTCATGCCCAGGTGGTAGCTGGTCTCAAGTGGGGTACCCTAGGGTCAATACCGGGGCCATGTTCTCTATCCTCATAAGAGGGTCCGATGAGGAGATAACTGCACCCTCGCCTTGCAGGTGAGGCTAAACTAGGGGGAACAGGTGTGTAACATATGGCAGAACCTCAGTCCAGGTGGACCCCAAGAAACTCAAAATTCAGGCCAACAGAAACCTTGTGGACATCAACAAGATGGTCCAGATAACCCTAGGTTTCACCCAGCCTGGGGACCGAGGGGCTAAGCAAGGTCACAGTGAAAAGGACCTGCGATAAGGTTCAGAACAAGAGGCTGACCAAACGGAGCAAGCTGCATCCTGGGCGACATGAGGTAGAGTGTGGCCAGCAGCCTGAGAAGAAGGGATGTCCTCTTTGCACAGCCCCAGGGAACTCCCAGCTGGGTTCTGTGTCCAGACTGCCCCCCCATTTCAGGGGGAGGTGGAGGAGCTGGAGACGGACCAGCAGATGCTGCTGGTAGGGCCAGGGCCCGGGGCCACAAGAGGGGTGGATTGGGATCTATCAGCATCATGCAGCTAGGGGGAAGGCAGATGCAAAGGTGCCAGAGCCATGCTGTCTCAGTAGGGCATGAGATGTAACAAAGGACAATGGACATTAGCTGCAGCTTCTGGTTGGACAATAGGAATTTGTTTTTTTCTCCTGGGGAGGTGGTGGGACATGCCACCAAGGAGGTGGGAGAAGTCCGTCCTTCAAGACACAACTGGGTAAAGCTACGGATAAGCTTATCCTGTGCTGGTGGTGTTTCTGCTCCAAGCGGCAATGTGGGCTAGAGACCCCCGGGGGTCCCTTCCCACCAGCATCACCAGAATCCTGCAAGCCTAGTGAGGGGCAACCTCCCCACCTGCAAATTCTTTCCCTTCCCCACACCAGGAGCCCACTGCACAGACCCAGGACACCTTGACAGCCAAGGTCCTGTGCACTGGACCGAGGCCCCATCCCAGGCAGGCCAGGACCAGTCCTGGCCCGCATCCTGCTGTTGCTGAAGCCCATCATTTTTGCTGCTGCTGCTCCTGGCAGGCGATCAGCTGATCCCGCCAGCGAGCCAGTGCTGCAAAGTCAGGCACAGAGATTGCTCGAGTGTGTTAGCGAGGGGAGAGCGGGGCCGGCAGGGCCGGGGGGCTCAGAGAGCCAGGGGCAGCTCTGCCCTGAAAACCGAGCCACCTGCGCCTTGCTACCTGCTGAATTATAGAGGAGCTGACAGCCAACCGGAGAGAAATGTGATCCTGGTTAGCCAGCCGGAGAAGACATCTGAGCTCCCAGCAGCTGCGATAGCAACTGCAGGGAAAAAGCCTTCCTTCCTGCTGCTCTGTGTGGCGCAGGGTGGCCGGGGTGGTTGGAGGTCTCTGTGCATCCCCGGTGTGCCTGGGCGGCCGGTGTCCACTCCGGGGGGCACGTGCTCGGGGCTTGAGGATGATGTGAGCTGCAGCAGGCACCCAGCGAGGCAGAGCTCAAGGGCAGAGCCAGGTTTCTCAGGAGGTGAGGCAGAAGGAGCCTGCCTGCAGCCGGTGCCCGCACCCTGGGTCTGGCAGCTCAGCCCCATGTCCAGAGGAGGGGACATGGTTTATATCCCAGATGACTCCGACTTCAGCTCCTTCAGGGATCAGTGCGAGAGCCTGGAGGGCTGGCACTGTCGGTATAACAAGGCTGGCGTGACCGTGTGGAGTCAGGGCCAGGAAGAAAGCTGCACCGTGCAGAAAATCAAGGTAAGCAGACGCCGGCGGCTGCAGGACTGCCAGCCCTCCCCCAGCTGCGTGCCTCGCTGCTCCTGAGGGTCCCTGGGGTGCTGGGGCCATCCTGGGGATGCACAACACCCTAGTCCAGCCTACCTGGGGGTGTTTCTGCCTTGAATGCCGGGGCTGGTGGGGTTAGTTCCCCAGAGGTGCTTCCCCAGCTGGCGAGCTGCTCTGCAGGCTCTCCCTGCCCTCCCCGTGGCTTTAGCCTCTCGACCTGCCGGGATGCCCTCTGCAGTGTCCTACCATGCATGCACGCACACATGTGGGCTCACATTGCGGCTGCCCTTGATGCAGACACCTGCGGGAAGGCCCTGGGATCGATTACGTTATGGAGATGGCCTTGCTGGGAGCCCCCGGGCATGAGGTAGGCTGGCGGGATGCCTCCCTGGTGCCTCTCCCCCAGCCACGCCATCCTGGGGCACATCACCTCACGTCCTGCACTGGATGAGCATCCCGGGGAGTTTAAGATCCCCCATGTGCCGTCTCGGGAGGTTTTTTGCTTGCCGGGGGCCGGATCTTTGATGCTGCAGAGGGTCTAGCGAGGTTCAACCATCCCTTAGGTTGTTACACGTTGTTGCTCATCTACATGGCACCAGTGACACTGCCAGGTGACCCTGAGCACATCAAGGGTGCTGGGGGCAAGGGAGCCCCATTACGGACAGGGTAAGCCCTGCATGGGAGCATCCTCCGGTCAATACTTGGCTCCATGGCTGGTGTCATGAGCAGGGCTTTGGCTTTTCTGGCCACTGAGGATCAGGACAGCTGGGCAGGGATGGAATCCACCTAAGCAAGTAGAGCCAGAGCATCTTGCCTGCAGGACAGCCAACCTGATAAAGAGAGCTTTCATCTAGGACCGTTAGGGAAGAGTTACTATGACCTGAAGAGCAGGGAAGTCATGGGGAGGTGGTGAGGAGGCACCTGCGGTACAGTACACCGGAGGAGGCTCTTGCACCATTTTCCTGAACACAAAGCAACCGGCAGCCTGTCTTGGATGCCTGCACACCAGGGCATGCAGCTGGGGAGACACGAGGAGGAGCTGAGCTCACAATGATTGCAATGCTGCCATGGATGGAGGCCCTTCAGGGCCAAGGTGAGGAGGAGGAGCGGCACTCTCTGCAGAGGCGTAGCTGCAATACATGCTACCTTGCCACCATGAGCCAGGGAAGAGCTTCTGGGCTAGGATCAGGGAGTACTTATCCCAGTTGCGCATGCGCAAGTCCGCAGGACCTGGCAGGATGCACCAGGGGAGGTGCTGAGGGGTCTGGACAACGTCTCTTTGAAAAGTCCTGGTGACTCCAGGAGGTCCCTGATACCTGGGAAGAGGCAAACATCACATCCCTCTTCCAGAAGGGCAAGAAGGATGCTCCAGGGCTCTATGGGCTGCTGTGGCACCTCCATCCCTGGGAAAGTGATGGGGAACATCTTCCTGGAAGCCATGTTTGAAAGACAAGGGCAGTGGTAACAGCAGCAGGGACCTACCAAGGGTAAATCATGCTTGACCAACCTGATTGCCTCCTGCAATGAGAGGACTGGGTGTGTGTGTATGGGGAGAACAGCGAAAGCCCTGTTCCTTGACTTTAGTAAAGCCTTTGACAGGGTTTCCAATAGTCTCCTCATCACCACGTTGGTGAGATCTGGACTGGAGAAGCAGATGATGAGACGGACGGAAAACCAACTCACTGTCCCGCTCATGAAATGGTAGTCAGCAGTGCAGAGTCCAGATGGTGGCCAGTTGCTGGGTCCCACCCTGTTACTGGGATGATGGGATCGAGTGCCCTCTCAGCAAGCCTGCAGGCAGCACTGAAGTGCAGAGAGCATTTGAAGTGCTGGAGACAAGACTGCTGTTCAGCGTGACCTGGGCAGTCTGGAGAGACAGGCTGGCAGGAACCTCATGAAGTCCAGCCAAGTTCAAACAAGCACAGCCCGGCAGAGGGGCTGTATCCCCCTTTGCCACCACCAAGCCCCATAGAGAAGGGACCCCTGGCAGGGTCAGGGGGGTCTGAGCACCATCGCCCAGTCTGCTTCACTGCAAGTAATACCTCCTTGATGTGGTTTTTCCCTGCTCTGGAGAGGGCCTGGGCATGGTGCAGGGGTTAACACTGCCCAGGGACCTTTCCCAAAATGTGGGATGGAGGATCCCACCCAATTTGTGTGGGAGATCCGAGAACTCCACAGGATGGGGCTTTGGGGGTCAGAAGACCCCCAGTCTTTCCATTAATGCAGGCATAACCTGGAGAGTCCCTGAGCAGTTGGAGCTTTGGATTTTTTCCACCTGAATTCACTGTTGATGGTCTGGTTTGGGGCTCTGCACTTTCCCTGTCCCAGTTGACTACCTGCTGCACCTAGTGTGGCTGTTGCACTGTTCATCCATGGCTGGAGAGAGGTGGTGGACAGGCTTTAGGGGGGGATTTTGGGGTTGCAAGGCTGCAAGGGTCCCACTGTGATAACTTCCAGGAGCCCAGGAGGACCATGAGCTCCACCTCCTGATGGAGGCATCCTTCACCCTGCAGCAGCAGCACTTTCAGAGCCAGCTGGGAGGGGGTGGATGGGGAGAAGGAGCAAGAGAAGGGGGCTGGGTGCTCCCACACTCTCATCCCCGGTGGCCCAAGGAGCGCAGCGCATCTCCAAGCCTGTCCTGGGCACGAGTCCAGCACGCCGGGCAGAAACCATCACCCAGGCCATCGGGGAAAGCTTGCCCGAGATTGATGGGACCTGCCATGTTCAGAGGGCCATCTCCGATTACACGGCACTGCTGAACACCTCATCAAAGATGCAAGGCCTCTAACGAGGAGCATATGACATCTCCTTCCTCCCGGCATTGAGAGAAGCAGGGCGGCCGGCTTCATTAATAATGCAGTCGCCGGCACAGTCGGGCAGCTCCGTGGCTCCAGTTACAGCCGGGGCCCCACCAGCCATCCCAGACTGGACCCCACACCCAAGAACGTTGTGCCAGGGCAGGAGCATCCCTTTGCTTGCC